ACTTATATAGAAGTTAACTAGGAACAATAAAACCAAGTGAACAGTCTTTAACATTATAATTTACTTGCAAAAGACAACAAAACATTGATTTTCATTCTATATGTTGCTAGATTCTTAAAACACCAATCCTGAATTTGTAAATTTAGGATCACTAATAAAGTTCCCTATCCATTGATTCGTAACAGATTAGATTTCACAATTGCTAAATGGGTTCTTGGAGAATTTTCTGTTTACAAATTAAGGTACCTGATGGTTAAAATTGAGTATAAAATATTTTAAATAACATTCAAGTATGGAATAAGGCATCAAAACAAAACATACTTAAAGCATGAAATCTACTCTCAATGTTCTCAATCCTTTCCCTAAAGTTCCTTTATAGCTGAAACAACATACTTGGCAAGTTTCATAATGCATCATTCACCATAAAAGGAAAACAAATTAAGATCACTAACCCGCCAATGACCAAGACAACCCCACAATGCGGCAAACTCTTTGGGCCCTGAAATACAACACATAACCGACATAAGTTCATTAACAATCAGTAACATTCCAACAACTATAAAGGGGAAGGCTTAATCATTAAGGCAAACAAATCAAAAATCAGCCTTCTTTACAATTCAGTGGCTTGTTTAAATCATTGAAACGCATGAAGAAACTCAGTGCTCATATTCCAGAAATTTTCTTTTCTTTCAAAAACCTCCCCAAATAAATATATAGATTTAAATCATGCAAATTTTGACATATAATAAGAGAGACTACAGAAAAGAATGATAATTGATAAAACTGACCTATTCTGAGGGAATCATAGGGATTCTTGAACAAAAACATAAGCAATCTTATAGTCCTAAGGTTAAACCTCCGGTACCCAGAAGAGAGCGCCTGCTGCAACTCATTCTCGTCAATGAATCCACTCCTGTCCCTATCCACCATCTCGAATGCCCTGATTACATCTGGATTCGTCCCCGGTGGAAACCAAGACTGCATATAACCGGGCCCCTGCTGCTGCTGCTGCTGTGGCATCCCGTAGTAGCTGTGATTAGGAGGTGGAGTGGCACCGTGGTGGTAACCATATCTTCCGCTCTGCGGCAGCTCCGGTGCAGAAGGTGCATACGACTGAGAAGAATGTCCGCTGAAGGACGCCATTGATGCCTCCAAAACAATCAAACCGACGAAACAAAGAACAATAACGTGGAAAGTTTTTCTGGGTTTGGGATGGTGTAAGTAAAGATTCAAGATTTATTAAGACGGATATTTAATCTGCAAGTTTTCAGGTGGCGGTGGCTACTGGGGTGGTGGCTTTGCTTCTTTATTAATATTATTATCAATTTATCATTATGATTTTTGAATAAATAGAGCCGCGGAATTCATGGCTTTGGGACGCGTGCATCGGCAGATCTCATCGTTCAACGCGAACGATCTTGATTTTTCCAGAAGAGCGTGGGAACTTGTGGGATTGCGCGTTGTCAACGTGCGCGTAGTCTTGTAAAAGAAGGAGGACTAACAAATTGGTGGGCGTCCAACCTTAAGGAATAAATTTTTTTATATTATTAAATAAATATATATTTAATATTATGAATTTTAAATAAATAATATATTTAAATATTTGAACTTTACCTCTGATAACGTGACTTTAATCACTCTTGTAAGGTTCATATTTCCTTTCTTAAAAGCAACAGTTCGAGCCGACTCATGATTAAAATGTTCAAAATATATATTTAAATATTTAAATGATATATAAAAATAATAAAAAAATTATTTTTAAATCATTTTTTATATAACC